CATGAGTTAATGCATATAATTCACTGGTAACTAATATACAATCAATCACATTAACGTCGTTCACAGTTATGAAGAGGCATTTGCAAGCATGAGCAGGAGTTTTAAATCAAAAATCCTCGGCTGGTAATAAAAAACCTTTTATATGGAAATGACTTCGCTGCTGTCTTTACAAGTGTACAACGTTAATRGGAATGTTTGTAGCATGATGGGAAAAGCACATTTACATTCCAATGTAGCACGCTGAAGTCGCTTCTATWTGATGTAGAAAACGTACTTGCGCTTTTCAAGTGTAATTTTATTATTTAAAAATGTTTGCGCATTTGGAACATYCMGTTACACGACAGAACTGTCTGCCAATCAAATTGTGTGTAGAGAATCTCTATTCATTAAAAAGTGATTTGGAGATTCGATCTTTTTTTACCTTTCCCTGCGGAAGTAGCCCTTGGCACTTCAATCTCCAWCCTTTTGGAGGGTCCTTTGGTGGTTCTTCATCGATGTTCATTCCATCGAACACGAGTCGCCGGAAATTAGTAATCTTTAAAGGAGTTGAAAAAGATTGTCAGCGTTAGCAAAATAAACAAAATAATGAGGAGTATTCATATATTCATATAAGTTTTACTGACAACGTATTTGCATTATCACCCGTTTTTGTTTCAGTATAATCCCATTACTTTTTTCAAGGATTAAATTGCTCATATAATATTTATTTCCATACGGTTGTTAATTTAAACTTAAAAATAGGAATTATAATACTTACATATTCCTTTGCTGTGACCTTCCTGCACAGATGCTGTTGCTTGTTGTGTTGTCCCGCCAGCCACACCCTTTCTTCTTCCGTCAGGTCTTGGAAAATGGCTGCGTTTACTTCTAGCTCTTTGTTGTTCGAGAAACATTGTTTTAATGCAGATCTATGATAGAAGGAACATATACTTATATACATTATAGTTTAAACTTGGGTGGGCCTCGAAGGGGCGTAAGATATTATTTTTTGCTACGTTAATACATTATTTTTATTTTTTTTTTGGCCACAGTATCCTAATCATTCGCGCTCTGTGATCGGCTATAGGTCGGTCCGTATAGAAAAACACTGAAAAACACTGCCCTCGGTCTTTCTTCGCTGCGCTCGTTCCGTACTGTCAAGACCTCGGACGCCTCCCAGCCGGTAAATAACATATATATAAGATTACTTTAGGTGAGCGCATGGCTAAGATACTGCTTACATGAAACATGTTGCCTTTATAGGTTAAAGGCTGGCAAGTTCGGTTTCTTTTTCATGGAGACTTAAAACAATAAATTTTTTGCTCTGGACCACCTGGGGTCACCCTGTCTCATGCAGACAGGGACTTATTAGTTATTTATGCAATTTGCCAGGCTGGGCATGGTTGGACGCGTGAACTTACGTGCCCTTACGGCGACTCTCAATCATGGCCGATCTTCGTTCCAAAGCGTGACCACCCATATCTAGCCTTGGCCTTCCCTAATCCACTTGTAATGTTTATTTTTAAAGTTAGGCTAAATATTTTGCTATATTTTAAAATCATTTATAAAACTTATTAATAATGCATAAGCTATTGCTCCAATAAGGGCTGACCATTTAATCAGGTGATTGACCTTGTAAATCTGATACAACCACATGTGGTTGTATCAGATTTACAACACGGTCGTCACCATTGAGACAACCCAACACTAGCAAAGGTCTCAGTTTTAGTGTCGCATCATAGACCTTCACTAGGTTTTGAAGCAATCAAAGACGGATAACAGAACTCGCTTATGCAACAGATGGCTTGCTTTCCATGTGGGATGGATAATTATTCAAAATGTTCTGTGTTGCAGTAAATTGCGCATGCTTAATAGGGACTAAACTCAGCAGTTACCTTATTTGTCATTTTTCGTCATTTATCTCACTGTAATTCATGTTAATTTGTGTTGGAGTTTTATAAGTCGTTTACAACATTCGCGTCCGTGTTGTATGGGAATTACAATCTCTCGCCTGCGGCTCGAGATTGTAATTCCCATACAACACGGCCGCTCATGTTGTAAACTATACTTCAAAATAACGCCTCGTAACAATATAATAAACGAGTTATAAACCTCGCTTGCTCGATCTGTACGGGAAAATATCAGACCTCGGTCTTTTATGTACGTACTGTCAAGACCTCGGTCTGATATTTTCCCGTAAAGACCTTACGCTCGGTTAATAACCTCTTAATATGGCGCGTCATACTGTATCTCTGCCCCTGTATTAGGACATGCACACTCCTAGTAATAATATAATAATATAATATAATCCTATTTATATAGCGCTTATCCAATTCTTCTCTACATGACAGCTACAAAACACATGAGAGTCTTGGTAGACTGTGAGCTTGAGTTGGCGCCTCTGGCTGCCGCTGCACAGTCCGTCCCAAGATCTCAAACTAAAAATTAAAGTACAACAATCAGATTTACATCACAATAAACAAGTGTTTTTGCATGATGCCCGGTGGCTTAACCAAGATCATTCGCGCTTTGACAGGTCTTGTATTTAGTCCTGCTGGGAGTCATGCCACCCCCCTCACCAGTGTAGACTGGTGGGGGTGCCGGTTTAGACGCCGACAACCCGTCCATGAGGCAGGTTGTACTGGGTTACAATGTTACCAGTAGCAGACTACATGTCTGACCTGACATGTAGTAATGGGTTCAATAGTTGTTTAAAAGAGGAAAATTTCGATTTGAAAGAAGAAAAAAATTAATGGAGATACATTTTATTTTGAAACAAACATATCGTCAATCGGACGGGGAGGCGTGTTTGATGTTAGACGTGGTCTGTTAGACGCACAATACGCGAAACTGGGTTACCTGTGTATAAGTGGTGACCGTGCATTCCTGGTGCCGACCATCAGATTCAAGATGGCGAACAAGAGGACGATAGGAGATAAACAAGATTCAAGCAGCAAAAAGAAGCAGAAAACGGCAAAAAGGAATAATCAGTCAGGGTAAATTCTTTATTAATTGGCTATAATATTTGTAGGTATTGTATTTCTTCGATTGTTGCTAAGAATTGATAACTTTTTGCGAAAACATTTTAACTGTGTTTTGTGCACGTGGTGCGAGTTCCCAACTATTTCTTGTCATATTTTTACATCATTTCTTTGCACATAGTGATTGCTCATTTGAATACATGATGTTGATGGTTGTTAGAATGAGAGCGGGAATCATTAATTACGCCGAGTTTATCGCTTTGTTTATACTTGATATTAGTGATATGAAGAATATTAAGAAGTAGTTTAATAACTTAAGTTACCTACATGTAGCCATACGTATTTAGCCTAAAACGGCTACTACTGTGAAATTTCGAATTTGTTAAATTTGAGAGATCCTATCAATATGGCTAGCTAAATCGGACAGTTAAGCTTATGTATTAAACATGTTTAGCAACATTGAGCAAATTTTTTGATAAATATTCTCAAATATTTTGATATAGATTTTTGCAGTTGATGACGTCATTGACCCAAACATGATTTGAACCAAAATTTCTCGACTTTGGATGAAACCAAAGCAGAACTTTTGAGTTGTTCACTACTGCTACAACAAAGATTGTGATTTGATGAAATAACAAAAAGAGACAGGCAATACAAACAATGATGATGTCCAGTAAATTAATAGGCATTGTTCAACATAAAGCTACAATTTTTTGTTTTTATTGTCTTGATCATCACAAGCTTTATTTTGACCCAAACTTTTCTGTGTCAAGTTTCAAATATTACTATACGCTCCTGGAGTGTGAAGTCAGACTAGGTATTTTTGAAAATTGATAAAGATACAAGTGAAAAGATTATGATGTTATATTCTGTCTAATCATATGATTATATTATGGATGTAAATTATGGCGTAGAATATATGCATTCCGATAAGATCACAAATACCACATTTGTAAACAAATAGTTTTTTTAGCATATAAAAGCGCAAGTAGAATCTAACATTTACTAACGATATTCGTACATCTATACGTTTGAGCTTCCGGTCCTGTAATAACACAGGCAACCCAAAACGTGACATGATACACAGATAGATTGGCTAAAAGGTAAAACTTAAGTAGTCAGATTTAAAATACACCATGATACAATATATATGCTTAATTTGCTTTCTTATTTTTGCAATTTACATTCAACATGCTTCTAATTATGTAATGTTATATATATTGTACAAACAAAGAATATAGTAAGAATGCATAGGGGTGGGGATTAGACAATTTTTCATATTTTTCTGTCAAATGCCCCGCCCTAAGGCTGCAGGATGTCGTCAGATGCCCCACACTGGGGTACTAAATAACTAACAAAGTAATTTCATTTTCTCTATTCTATATAAACAAACTGATTAAAGTTTACTGTCTAAATAACAACTAGTTGATTTAATACGGTAGAGTCATTTTCATCTGTCTGTGAAATAGGAATTATACTATAATTGAATACTACTACCCACTATTAGCTCCCAATAGCATAACTTATGATATGCAACAAACTAATTAGGCGAACACAGTTTTGATTTTGCCTTTTGGTAGCCTACCACATCCTAATAGTTACTATTAAACACTGACTAGTAGTAATTGTTTCACAGACAGATGAAAATGACTCTATTAGACTCGTTCAGATGCTAACACTTTACTTAAGTTTAAACTGATTTTTATTTTTTGATTTTATTGTTCTGCATGGTTCTTATTGACAGGAATAATATTCTAATTAGTTGTATTTATGGAACTTAACAGTGATTAGTGAGTTAGGTTTTTACAGTTTTAGTGTTCTCAATTTGTACAAATACCAACCCAATAATTTTATGCATCATATAATTTAATCGGTAATTTAATCTGTTGTTGAATGACATATAAGTACAGAATTTGAATCTTATTAAAACACTTGAAAATGAAGTCAAGATGACTTCGAAACGTTATAACTTAAATGTGTTATTCTTTATTCTGAGTAATCTACAAACATTCTGAAATAATCCACAAAGGAAAACAACTTCATTTCATGAAGGAAGGCTTCCAGTGTGACAGTTGTCATTTATGGCAACATTGCATTTGTGACACTCCATGGAAAAAATAAAAATTAATATTTTTTTCAGTTTTGAGAATGATGTAAATACATTATTTTCTTAAAATATAGAGTTAAACAAGTGGAAGATGAAGAAGACTTCCCTAGAGGAGGAGCTAGTGCTCTAAGCCCACTTGAAGTACGAAGGATAAAGCAAGAAGCTGAGAAGGATGTATTGTTTGGAGTAAGTGACTTTACATTAATGGGACATTTGGACTAAGATCTATGAAAAATCAAAAGACGTTTAATTAAATTAAAACCAATCTATCTTACAACATTCATTATTATGAAGCTATGATTTGTTTACACGTACATGTACCTCCAATTAAGGTACATGTGAATGTCCAAGTTTTTCAATGGCATTTAGATATTGATGTTATGAAGATGCATGCAATAACTTTTTTTAAATTTTGGTTTATTGATATCTACAATCACTTTCATGTATACAATTATTGTTTTCCAATTTATTTATTTAAATTTCTAATTGTTTTTGGAGCAAGTAGTACTTTAGTTATGTTAGCTTGTATTTTGTGGATCAGTACAAAATCTGTGCTTCATGTACATTGTACAGTGATTAATCATTAATTGTTTTGGTGTACTAGACTACTACAGAAGAAGATACAAAAAAGAAAAAGAAAGCAAAAGCAAAAAAGCCAAGATTTGATGAAGAGAAATCACCCATTGAGTCAGAATCCACTCCTCAGATCAAACTTGTGGAAAATCTTTCATTCAAGGTACAGTGCATGAAACATGACGACAACAAGTTAGGGATAGACCATCAGATGTACTTCTAGCTCAGACAAACATGTTTGTATTTTGAATACCAACAATGCCCAAAAGCTGCAATGTCGCATTTGAAGACCAATTATTCTCTAGTACTGAGGCAATTTACAAAGTTTTGGTATTTTTGTAGCTATTGATTTCTGTCTGATTAATGGAATCAAACCACTTGTCCAACTAATATACATGTAGTGTAAACATTTTGCTTTAAAACATTTTTATTAAGATTACTACACTAAAAAGAGTTGATAAAGCAATAGTCTCCTTCACAGTTACCTGCGCCATCTTGAAAGGTAGCCATGCCTTTACATGTAAGCGAGACAACCGTTGAGAGTGTAATGATACATGTAGATACATGTACCTGGGAATAATTGTTTATAGGTGTGAAAGAAGGTTTCTATAATTGCACGCTTTTAAAATGGTTGTCTCGCTTCGATGCAAAGGCATGGCTACCTTTCAAGATGACGCGGAGAACCGTGAAGGCAACTATTGGAAATTCAGATTAATAATGTATATTAGCGATATATTGGGTCTCTATCAAAACTGTCGAGATCACATAATTGTGAAAAAACTGATAATTCTGATTCTATGTTTACATTTGACAGCGACTTTCTGTTGGAATGAAATTACTTGGTGCAGTCAAGGAGATAACTGAATATGAAGTAGTGATTAGTTTACCTAATGGATTGAGTGGTTTTGTTAATGTGTTGGATATTAATGACAAGATTACTGAATTATTGACTTCACAAGATGAGAATATGAATGAAGATGATGATAAAGATAATGATGTAAGTGATATAATGACAACTGTATTTTTTTCTTATTAACATATTTTCCATTAAAATTCAATCACTGAAAGCACATTTTGTGTTTTGTCAGGATGATATTCCTTCCTTAGACGATCTCTTTACAGTAAATAGTCTAGTTGTCTGCGTCATCAAAGAGATATTCCCAGAAAAGCATGGACACAAGAAGATTCAACTATCTGTCAAACCTGAAGATATAAACAATGGTGTTGTTAATCTCTTTAAGGGAATGGTACGTATAACAGTTTACTTATGTTGAGATGTGTTGTTATGGTGACCATCCTTAACTGGGCTGATGTAAAGTAAAAATGTTCAACATTGCTTCCCTATTTTTCCAAACACCTTGATAATTTCCAGTGCCTTCTAAAGTTTCTTAACTTACTGTCATTTAAAGTTCTTTTTGTGGTTTGTAAATAGCTCAGTTTTGGTATCTTATTGGATAATCATGTACAAAAGAATCAAAAATGAGACTTTGTCTTCAATTCTTTTGTGCATGGTTAGTCGACCGAGATGCCATACATCTATGCCATACATAGAAGTATCTTGTCTTTGAATAACTCTAGAAAGTTGAAATTTGGTAAACAGCTACTTATAATTATTCTGTCAATCCCTTTTCAAATACTTAGTATCAAGTCTGACTTACAGTTTGGAATAGAGTGGTTTTCCGTCAACCATGAAAAGAAATAGACCAACTAGTTAGTAGCAATRARTAMTAGACTAGTCAATATAACTTTTAGACATATAAACTATAAACGAAYAGCTAACAAACAACAGTTTGAATAAATTAAACGTTTAGTTTAATTAGTTACCATAACAAAAACGACCATTAAAATAAACAAAAACTTGTTTTTGTGATGATTATGTTTATACCTATCAATTGGATACAAGACTATTGGTATTGGTCTATTACAAACTACTACTTAACAATTAGACTTATTGTGCTTTCATGGTTGACGGAAAACCACTCTATAAGGATTTTGTAGCAATAAGTTGCAAAATGGTTGACTAAATCTTTGCCATAATGCTTATATAAATTCTCTTACTATAGGTTGTCAATGGCTACGTGTCCAGTGAGGAGGATCATGGGTATATTGTTTCTTTTGGTATTCAAGGGAAGACTGGCTTCCTTCCTAAAAAGCCAAAACCTCCTGGTATGTGGGTTCCCTGCAGTAAATAAAGAAGTCCAACTTTATATGTTACTTTATATGATGAGCATCGTGATTATGATGAATAACAATCAGTGTTATAAGTTCCAGCATTTATAATTATCAATTCAGAGCCATAATATAATATGTACCAGTATCAGAATTTGTCAAGTTTGCATTGAATATAAAAAGTGACTGTTATACACATTCAAATATAAATAACCCTAGATTTCAATTCACAATAGTTTATTTCATATTTTATTTGAAATATTGTAATTTTAATTCTTTGTGCCTATAATTGAAATATTCTTATATAAGAAATATTCAAATAGAGCAGCACATGCATCAAGATAGTGTTTTGTTCATCATGTAATACATCCATGGAAGCGAATAATCTTGAAAAACAATTTTTTTTCCACCTCTAGTTTTTTAAAATAGGTAAATTTTAAACAAATTTATGATGGTATCCACTTGTTACCATGGTTAGCGTCGTCTCATTGTCTAAATTGTTGTTCATCCTCTTAACAAAAATTTACAATTGTGATAACAAATAAAATTTGCTATTCTTAAAGTCCACCTCACCCAATTTTTTTTATATTTGTAAAGAAAAGACTTTTGTCATAGTAACAACAATTTGTACAAACAAATTTGATTTTGTTTATTTAAACTACATTTTGAAGCGAAAACAACCGCGGACAAAGCCAATTTCGGGATTCCTGTGTGCCTGATCAATGTCTTCGTGATGACGTAGAGGGAGTAAGTCGTTCGAGAGACAAGGATAGATACCTACAGTGAAATGACAGTAAAAATCAAATCTGAAACAAGAGAACTTTGAATTTGAACAGCTGTAAATACTACCTACATATATTGAAAGAAGTTACTTACCTGGGGCCGTAAATAACTTTTCCTGTTCCTCGATATTTATCTAGATCTATACGCAACACTTGTTTGTCCAGAATAATCTCTCAACACTTTGGCTCCATTTTTATAGCCAAGACATGAAATAACGTTCAAATCGTCAGAATAATCTCTAGTAGCATTAGATTTGCCGTTTCAGGCTGGATTATCCCACGTTCAGTCTTAGAAAACATAGAATTGTAATGAAATATGTGGAACTTGTACAGTTAACTTTGTATTTACTGAAGGACGAGTTACTCCATCTACGTCATCAACCCAGGCTCCCTCGCACTAGGCCAAAAATCATTTGGTCGAATTAAACGAACATAAAAAATATAAAATTTGGAAATTCGAATTTTTTTTATGTGAATTTGTGGTTTATAACTCCTAAACTTTTTTTTCCAACTGTAAAAAAAATTGGGTGAGGTGGACTTTAACTGTAATTGTTTTGTAAACAGTTGATATTATTGTTGGAAAACCTCTTCAAGTTTTTGTGAAGTCTGGGGATGAAGCTCGTGTTGCTGCTGTAAGAGTGGATAATGAGAAAATAAAGATGGCAATGGTATGTAAAAACATTACGATTATGATAATTAATTATTTGACTGCAATCTTGTCATCAGTGAGCTATTTATTGATTGACAGTGGTTCCAGGTGGCAGGAATTAWAGATATGTGTTACGGAAGGGGAATAACACTGGATAATTTCTGAAAACTTTGATACATTAGGAGAGTTATGGAAATGGTGGATTTTCACATCAACTAGCTGTGGCATTCACTCATTAGTTGATGAAGGATTGATTGGTTTGTTGATTGGCTGATGAAGTGATGTGTAGCTTATTAATTGGTTTATTGATTGATTGACAGGTTGATTGTTTAGTTGACCTAATTTTTAGTTACTTGATTGATAAGTTTTGTTCATTGCTAAGCTTGATTGATTGATTAGATAATTGAAAGATTTCAATGTGAAGCATTCAGAATTGTCTTGTTTTTACTGGTTAAGAAAACATAATACTGTAAATAAATAAAATTAATAAAAACACAATACATTTTTAATTCAAAGGGAGTTGTTACAAGTGATACAATTGTGTATCTGAATAACTCCCATACAGGCCACTTTTATATTAACTTTTATATTAACTTTTCAAAAGTCTTTATATTTTTTGCATTTCAGATGACAGAGGAGATGAAATTCAAACTATCAAGCCTTGTTCCTGGTATGATGGTACAAATGACTGTTAAAGAGGTACATGTATCCCTTATTGATCATTTATAATTCTCACGGACAAAGAATAATTATTTGGGCATCACTCTTATCTAAGTTAGACTAGATCAGCTTTAAGGTATTTAGTGTGTGTAATGCAAACTTGCTTTGTTTTAGTGCACATCCAATGGTCTTGTTGTATCATTTCTGGACATGTTCGAGGGTACTGTCAGCTTGAATCACTTGCCTGAAAATGGAGGAGATGGTCAAGACCTAGAGAAGAAATACAAAAAGAAATCCAAGGTATGTTGAAGAAGTCATTTTATTAGTGCTGGTAATTATAAACAATGTGATGTATTCAACTTCTAAAAGCCAACCAATTGGCTGCGTAAGAATGATATTTGGCACTGAGGAATCTAAATGTATACTTGGGTAGAAATTTTCGGTGGGGGAGGGGGGAGGACATATAGGTCCTGTCTCTGTCAATCAATCTGTCTGAATTTCATTTGTGGGTTTGATTGTTTTAACACTATTTTAAAATGGTTAAAATACAAATACAACATGTTTGAAAACTTTTACCATATGAATTATGACAACTATCATATTCAGTGAAAAATGTACATTGACTCAGGACTTCTGTAAGGGGGGCCTTTGGATCTGCAACTGGTTCTGTCACATTAAATGATGTAATATATTAGATAAAAATTGTTGTTTGTGGTCTTTTTTCACATTTGCCTTATACTTACTCCACTTGACCTCCTGGTCTAATTGTTAATGTATTATAATCTCTTTTTTTCCAGATAATTGGCCGCATATTGTACATTAACACTAAGCAGAAGATAGTTGTGTTGAGTGCACACCAAGCCATAGTAGAATATAAACCTCTATCATTTGGTGACTTGACTTTTGGTCATATCATTGAAGAAGCTACAGTGCTAAGGGTAGATCAAGGCTTTGGAATGCTGTTGAAGATAGACGATGATACCCATGGATATTCTCATGTATGTACACCATTGATGGTGATAATGACTTTATGATATTAGAACTTAATGATATGCAACAATAGTACAAGACATTAGCACTGATCAATATGACAGTCTCCAATTGTTAATGAAAATCTCTGTTAAAAATTGTCAAGGCCATACTTAGTAGCAAAAAGAAGAATTATAGCTTATTCAGGAGAACTGTACATTTGTATGGCATTTCATTCCAGTTTTTAACACAAAACAACTTAGTCAAAAAGTTATTTGTGCAAAATGACCAATTATCCATATTATGTTTGTCTTTCTATATGCAGTAGTTAACTTGAGAATAATATCTTAGATTTCTCATGTTTCCGACTCTCATTTGGAAAAACTTGACAAGAGATACAAGTCAGGCACTCAGCACAAGTAAGTTGTTAAACAATATTAAAGGATATTCAAATCCATACATTTAGGATTTGATTCAAAGAGAACTTAGTACATTGTGCACACATACATCAACCCCAAGTCTGGATTTGGCAATTTTACATTGTCAAGGAAAATGAATATATTACTTTCACTTTGGCATCAAAGTATTATCGTGAGATCAATAGTAATAAATGAAAGAGTAATGAAACTTCTGCATAAGCATTTTTTAAACTTTTATTTGTGCACAGGTGTCGAGTTGTGGGTTTTAATGCAGTTGATGGCTTGGTTTCATTGTCATTGAAGAAGTAAGTCAAAACAAGCTGAAAACTATTATATAAGATATCATAGTTCAGTCATTTACTAGACCATGCATAGCAGTATTATCCACATTATAACATTATTTGGAATTTAATTTACTCTAAGAACACCATACATGAATCTCAAATTGATGGAATTTAGTTTGTGGGGCCTGCAATACTTGCAAAAATACAGTATAAAAGTACAGACACTAAAACCAGCTCAAGTTTAAAGTTGATCTCTGTTATATAACTGTTATTTGAAATAGTTTACAAAGCAGACTGTGAAAAAGGCAAGGGAAATTTATGTAACTTTTTACCTTATCAATGTTCATAAGCTCAGACAAACCAGACACTTGAAAGTTTTTTACATGATCTGGTCCAACTTAGCTTAGGAATCTTGATGTCTCTCTTGCCTGCCATTCTCACATTGGTCTTTTGTAACTCTGGGATATTGGTGACTCTTTGAGTGACATTTATTGAAAATTAAAGAGCAAGACATGGTGGCTACATGACATGGTGGCTACATGTATTTAGTGCCTTTAATCCAGCTTAACAGCAGTTGATTGTGTGATATGTTATTTCATATGTATATTGTTTTTGTCTGTAGATCAGTCTTGGAAAAACCATTTCTTCGTTATCATGATATTGAAGTGGGTTCTCTCATTGAGGTTTGTAAATTTTAGGTATTAAACTTTCAACCGATTTGAATGGAAAGTTTTATCATCCTGTTTTCTCTCTCTGACTTACAGTGTACAATACTTAGCCTAGAGAAGTTTGGCATGTTGGTTTCAGTAGCTCACAATATCAAGGGACTGGTAACTAACATGCATCTTGCTGATATCATCCTGAAACATCCAGAAAAGAAGCTAAAAGAAGGGAAGAAGATTGAATGCAGGGTATGTTGTACTTGTTTGCAGACATGTGATTTTGACTATAATTTAGCTTTTCATTCAAACTGTAGTTCAGGCATTACTGTATAGAATGATCAGTAACTCACACAGCAATTTATGTGACTTCAATTTATGTCTATTAAAATTCTTTTTCGTCCTGTGGTTTCTCTCACAACCTGGTCATGCAATTCTCTTGAAAGGGATTGATAGCAAAGTACACAAATCACCAAATTGGCCATTAAGAACATCAATTACTTACTAGAATGATTCTCTTAATCTCAAATCTTTTTTCCTCTTCAAGGTCCTCACTGTTATTCCTGAGAAACGGAGGCTGCACTTGACGTACAAAAAGACTCTAGTGTCATCTGAGCACCCTATTATCACCAAATATAGTGATGTCAAGGTTGGCATGGTGACCCATGGCTTTATCACTTCTTTGCGTGAGCATAGTTGTATTGTGACATTTTACAATAATGTTACTGGACTTGTCCCCAGAGGAGAACTTGGGTAAGTATAATTCACTCTAGTCATGTTTTTTAATGAATGAATAATACCAAACCAGGTAACAAGTTGTGTATGTTAGAGTGGCTTTGTTTACTACACTTTTAGACTGATTCCATAAGTGGTAGCTAGCATTCATATCTCATTTTTTGGTTTGTTTGTCCCTGACAAACAAAAGTGACAAAAAATATTGACGAAGAGGGAACTGGTATCTGCTTTTTCAATCAATCTAACTAGTACTATATTTTGCAAGTTGTTTTGTTATTATATCATTATTATTCTGTATTTTATGGTGTATCATATTTGATTGCATTTGGACTATTACACTTTTTCTCATGCATTAATGAAAACCACTCTTTACTATGAGCTCACAAATAAAAACAAGACAGAGGCAACTATTCCAAACATTTAAAAAAATATAAAATGCCATATTGTCTTTAATTGCAGTATTCAACCCCAGGAAGATCCTCGGCAGGTTTTCTATGCTGGTCAGGTAGTAAAATGTTATGTCATGAACTGCAAACCAGAAGAAAGAAAGATAAAGTTGACTTTCAAGGTAGGGTTCAATGTTGGTAAACTTGCATCTTGACATCTTTTGCTATTTGATATCTAATAATGTCTTTGTTTCTTGACTTCTATTGCATTCCATTGTATCTTACTCCTTGACATTCCTTTAATTCCATTCTGATCTATCACATTCTATTCTATTCCATTCTGTTCTCTTCTTTTTCTTTTCTATTCCATTCTGATTCTTTTCTATTCTCATCTATTACAATCTATTCTATTCTATCCCAGCCCATCCTGCTCAATTCCATTTTCATACTATTGCTTTATACTCTCTTCCATTCTGTTCAATCTATACTTCTCCATTCTAACAATATTCTATTCCATTCCATTCTTGGCTGATTTCTATCCCATTGTATTCCATTGCATTCCTTAGCATAATTTACTTCTATCTTATCCCACCACCTTATACACCTAATTGCAAAAACGTAGTCGTGTTCGAAAAGGTCACATCATAGAAGACCGAAAGGGATTTTGAGTACCACTAAATTGGGATTACATTTGCATATACGGTGTACACTAAGCAAGTAGAGCTAGTAAGATTAACAGCATGATAGCATTTTATGCTGGAGAGCTGTTTGTTATGAAATTATCCAAATTGTTTGTCTTCCCAAGAACCCTTTCCGTCTTAGCTTCTATGATTTGACTTTTTTGGACCCGACAACGTTTCTTCAATTAGGTGTATATCCCATTTATATACACTGTATGTTTTCTTTCTTTTGACAGGCAAGCTCAATAACGAGCCCTGCATCTTCATTTCAAGGCAGTATTCAGCCTGCCACTGTAAGTGTTCAAACATGAATTATTAATCCATTTTGAAAATGTATTCTAACTTAGACTAGATAATGAAAACAAAAAAAAAATTCTATATTTTCACAGATTSTTGACGTTGATGTTGTAGCAAGTACCAATGAAGGTCTTGATGTTCAAGTCAGTCCAGGTGGCTTACCAGCTTTACTACCTGTATCTCACCTATCAGATCATCCTTGTAATTGTAAGCCCTTGTTGGCTGCCTACAAACCATCCAGTCAGCCTGTAAGATTAACTGACGTCTTATACTTTGGTTGTGGCAACAATAAAACTCATGTATCCTTTTCACTTATATATTTTATACCTGTTGTTGTACTTTTTTTTTTGTATTTCTCTTGAATATTCCCTTGCATGTAAAGTCAAAGCAGCTTATCTGCAGGACAAAACAAAAGATTTTTGCCCTCTTGGGAGCTACAATCCATTGTTTTGTCCTCCAGGTGGAGGTGCATTCCCACAAACTTCAAGGGCTCTCTAACAGAAAAAGTAAATATTATGTCAAGAAGTATTTTGTTGTTAGCCATAAAATACATTTTCGGGAAAAAATAATTCTTAATCAACTTGAAGAATGATTTTCCAATTTGTTTCCAAATAATCAAACTTTGTTGTCAATAAATGATATGAAAAAAATGATATTACCTCATTGTAGTAGAGTGATCACACTTAAACCGTGCAACTGTACAAACTAAATAGTGCTATTTTAGTTGTGTTTAGTAAATCGTGCATGCAGTACGCAAATTAAATCGAATTGATAAAAATGAAGCATTCAATACCGTCTTGCTTCAGGTCCACTTTTAGTACAAATACTTCAATTTTGTACAGTTGCACTGTTTATTTTGTCTTTAATTTGGGGTTTATCAAATATATCACAAAGTAACATAAACATGCTTGAATGATTAATGCATAAACTGAGACACGAATCAAGAGAGAGGTAGACCATTATATATGCAGTTGATGTTGCTACAATACACAGAATAAATATCCATACTGGTAGAAATCAGTCCTTGACTTTCTAAAGATTGTGTCATTTAAGCCATCATTAAAAAGTGCTGTAAAACAAGGAAAAAAGTTGACCAGTTTTGATGACATTCATGTTGATATGATTCTGTCAGGTTACATAAAGCAGATCATGCCTTATGGAGTCTTTATTGAATTTGCTCCAAGAATACTTGGTCTTGCACCTAATTCTGTAAGTACAGCTTCTTTACAATAATGCAAAAAAAAGTATTTAAAATGTGGCAAACTGTGGTTTTTATGAATTCCAGGAAAGGGAATGTGATCCAATATATTTTTCTATTTTACAGTTTTTAGCCAACCAGTTTGTGGCTGATGCCTCTGAACATTTTGAAGTTGGACAATCAGTCATTGCAAAGGTGCAGTATATACAATGTACATTCATTGTCATTTTCATGAAATTTTAATTTTTTCCTTTTCGAGAGAAAGTCTTGCTTAAGTCTCAATTATTCTAAATATACAGTATTAAACATGTGTTTGTCTGAAAACTTTGATCTTCATTAATTTATAAACTGGTTGCATACATAACTCAAGGCATTATTAAAATTTATTTTTACCATACACTCATACTGTAATAATAGGAGTGTAGAAAGTAGAGCAGGCAAATTTAATCCATGAAATTGTCAAAACAATCTAATTTCTACTGAATCTGCAATTGAAGCAGGGCATACTTTGAATCAGTATTGTTTTCTAAGAAAATAAACACAATAGCACAATGTAACTAGTTACATTCACTCAAATTTGACACCTTACTGTACTGTCATTGTCTATATTCTTAGGTGGTTGAAATTCATGAGGAGCGCAAGAGATTTCTTGTTAGCTTGAAGCAGTCTGATTTATTGCCTGATTCCCTCACTTGGGATCAAAACATTGCTGGAGATCTAGTCCAGGACTATTTGAGGGAGAGAAAGCTGATTTTGGATTCTATTGCAAGCAATTCTGGTAACAATTATAATATTGTTTTAATTAAAAAAGATTTTATATTTTTATATTATATTCAAAAATTAATTGATTAAAGAATAACAAGCATTCTGTGTTGTGTTATTGCAAGCTGAGACTTGAGGACCAGGAAAATCCAGTTCCAATATTTTCATCTTCTCAGACTAATTTACATTTGTATGATGAAGTAAATACATCAAGTCCGTTATTCATAGTACATGCAAGGATTTGATTATAATGACATGTTTATATTTATACATCTTTCACAGATAATGCAAAGGCGCTTCAGTCGTACTCACAAGGTAGCTGTATTGAAGCCAAAGTAAGTATCTGATACTTTTTGTTAGTCTCTTTTGCAGTTTCCAGTGAGATTGTCAAGTTAGCCGTACTTTGTATATTTTGCATAAAGGATGGTTTTAATGATTGTCTGCAGCCTTCCACCTATAGATGGCTATGAGCTCAAGCAAGGCACTAGGTTTATGATTCATGTATGACTATACATTTGATTAGGAATTTATATTTGTACCTTGGTTTTCCAGGTAAAGTCTATCAAAAAACATGGTATCATGCTACAACTTGCTGGTGGCTTCAAAGGATTTGTACCACACCAGTTAGCAGAAGGTAAACAGACAAACAAAAGAATTTGTCTTATTCATAAGGCTGAATAGGCACGTATACAGGTCTGGAATGGTTTGTAGAGCATGTACATTTATAGGACCTTCCAACTTGGTAATGAATAATGAAAATGAATGTACAGTATTTTAACCATTAGAGTCAAACCTCTATTTAGTTGCCCTCATTTCACTCTCAATTATGGAGTTGGCTATGCAATTCAGCTATGTGTCTACAATATAATTTTAAATAATTTTACTATCTCTCCATATGCAATTATTTGATAACTTTACAGGACTCTAAAGGTTAATTAATAGAGTGTATATTTTCTTTATTTTGATTCACAGGTGTTAGTTGCCAAGAAGGTGAAGTAGTATATGGTGTTGTATTGGACCATGACATTGATGCAATGACTGTTGAGGTCACCCTATTGCCAGACATTGTCCAGGAAATCAGAAAAGAGAAAACTGAAAAAACGAAAAGAAAAAAGGTGCTTAAATGTCTTTAATGAGTTGATTTATATCAGTAAAAAATTGATAACTTAATTCAATGAACAATAATTTAATGCATAACTTTTTAAGTGGATGAGTGCAAATGAATTATGGGTGGTTATTGAATTTGAAAATGGTGTGATAGTGTGTTCTTGTTTATTAAATTAAGACTTGAACATTTTGATTGAAAAGTCCAACTTTACTCTCCACCCACAACTGCAACAAACAGGCTTACAATACACATTTAAAACCTACTACTAGTCATAGCTACCGCTAAGTGCCAACGAGCAGATGATGTTTTGCAGAAATTGTCATGAAGGGGATTTAGCGCGACATTAACAAATAGATGAAATATGTTACTAAGAAAACAGTTAGCGTCATTTGAAGTTTGTTGTCTTTTCGATCTTATCCTGGATGGGTCTCCTCCATGATGTCAGTTTTTTAGAAGCGTCAGATTTTTATGTAGACTCGGTCAAGATATCATTGCAATGTTAATGGTTTGTAGTAGCCTATAGACTCTTCCAAAGTCGCTTACCAGTCGTCGAAGCACGCCATAGCTAAAGGAAGAAACTGTTGAAGTTAAATTACTGAAAAGATCATAGACGGTGAGTAAATTAGGTCTCTGTTCCTTCATTTTGTTGTATTGACCTGTGTACACTTCCTAAGAGAGTTTTTAGTCATATAGTCTTCCCACTGAACATGGATATCTCGGATAGCTATTCTCTGAAAGCAATTGTTCGTTGTGCCGTAAATCATAAATGGCACTRRYCAATAARTGAGYACTTTAACTCAATRTGAGAATTCAATGAAATGTACTCTGTGCTCTTGTYAGATAGTTTTGTTTGTTTTAAAACTGAYAGTTTGTCAAATAGTGCAGTGGCACGCTGGCTTATTCGTTGGTTCGTTTTGGTACTCAAGTTTATTGAACACGCTGGTTCGAGGATTGACTAAAAACACTCTTAGGAAGTGTGCACAGGTCAATACAACCAAATGAAGGAACAGAGACCTAATTTACTCACCGTTTATGGTCTTTTCAGTACTTTAACTTCAACAGTTTCTTCCTTTTAAGACTATTTCCTTTAGCTATGGCGTACTGCGTCGACGACTCGCAAGCGACTTGTCAGGACCATGAAACTATCGTGGCTTCCGATTGGTTTAGATCGGAGTTCTATTGTGTGCTCCAATTGGTTGACTCGTAATTCCATTATTACATTACATTACATTACATTCGATTACATTACATTACATTACATTACATTACATTACATTACATTACATTACATTACATTACATTACATTCGAATCGAGCTTCGTTCTCCATAACCTTTTCGTGCATCGGCTCTATGATGCTGCCGCCTCGCCAGCCTTGCGTCTTCGCTCGGCTGGCTCGTTGGCAATAAGAGCTTGTCCTTTACTTAGCCGTCCATTCTTAAAATGGAAGGAAATCACAAGTACATTATTTGCTTCTCTTAAAAGGTGACTCATCACTTTTAATTATTAATAAATGAAACATCGGTTGCAATGAATGTTTTTATGGATGATTCAAAATACTTCATTCTAATAATTTTGTTTTCCTCTATTTTTCCACTGTTTTTTGTTTGCTTTATTAAGATGAAACCAGGACAAGTTGTAGACTGTGTTGCTCTGCTAATCAAGCAAAGCTATATAATTGTATGTCTACCACAGCATCATTACAGACTGGCAATTGCCCCAGCTAGAATGGTAAGGGTTTGTTGTTATCACTTATTGTCCATTTGTCATAGATTGTTTATGATTGATTATTAACTATTCTTAAAGATATGAATGTAAGAAATAAAGGAAGGTTATAGTGCTAAGAAGGAAATTACTCCAGGAGAAAAACCCTTGTAAATAAATTCAGAAAAAATTTTTTCCTACTTAATTCCTAATCCCAGCGAGGTCAGCAATTACTTTTTCTGAATTTATTTCCAAAGGGTCTTTCTCCTGGAGTAATCTCCTTTAATAGCACTATAGCTTTCCTTTATTTCTATATTAACTATTCTTTTCATCTTTTCATTGGCAATAGCACTTAAATGACATCAGAGATGCTTCTAAAAGATATGCAGTAAGACAGAAGTATACAGGAACCGTTCACAGGTGTGCTTTTTTTGTTATCGTACCAATCATTTTTGCATGCAAAACTACTTTTTATCAGATGACAATATTGGATCAGTCTTTAAAACTTTAAAAAGTGTACATGCACAAGAGAAAAAATAATAATTTCTAGAGATTTCCAGTGAGAGAGATTGAGATTCAATCTCCCTCGTCAATGCTGTATTTGCATGATTTTGTAGACTTTTTTTGGAATCTATTAGTTGAGCTTTTAGAGAAATTTAGTAAGCATTGCCCTGCCACAGCTCCTTGGGTATGTAATTTGAGTGACTTTTGATTCTTTATTTTTTTTTTCTTTCTTTGTTTACAGTGACCAGCCACTAGTTGTAGTATTAGAAGACAAATCTACAAGCAAAGAAAACATAAAACCAGGAATAATTACTTCTGCCGTGTAAGTACAAAGAATGCTTTCCACTTATAATTAATGAGGGAAACACAATAGAAATCACAACTGTGAAGAGTGTTGTAATATTTGATACAAAACTGTCTTGATTTGCATAAACTTCAAAGAATCCAATTTTCTCAGACAAATTCAATTTTATCTTTAAGTTTTTAGTAGATTATAAATGTATACATCTAAACATTTCACAAGTAATTTACATCATTCGTGTCCGTGTTGTATGGGCTTTACAACCTCTCGCCTGTTGTACATTGCATAATTAATATTTTTGTGTGTCATAATTTGTTTCAGTGTTAAGTCTGTCAAAGCAATACAAATGAATGTTCAACTTGAAAACTGTGGTTTAAGTGGTAGAGTTAACATTTGTCATGTTACTGATGAAATCAAGGAGGTATGAAGATATTTTAGTTAAAATAGCTTAAAGTATTTGGACATTTTGTGTCATATTACTCTTACTTGGCCCTGGGCAATTCCAAACGAGAAGAGTTTAATGCAGGTCTTTTGCCTGCAGCCCTGTGCATGCTCTTAAGTACTACACCCTTTGCAAAGGGCAATGCATTGCCTTCTGTATCACTCCTCTGAGAATTTTTGTCATTATTCCTTTTTATGCATACTCAGTTAGTGCATCCATGGGTAAAATTGCAGTTCACTCCTGTTACATGAAGAGAAGTTCGAGTACCTGAGCTAGTGTAGGGCAACTTGCTTTACTTACAATACACATAAGTTGCTAATAGTTCTGGTTTATCCAGGGAAAGTCACCTTTTAAGGATTATCACCAAGGAGAAAAGATTCAAGTGAAAATATTGGGTTTTAGGGACACAAAGACACACAAGTAAGTGGTTAGAAATACTGAAAATATAATTATAACAAGGTCTAATAGGAAAACTGCACTCTTCATTTTGATTTTAACAGCTTTCTTCCTGTTACACATAAGAATTTTACCAGATCAGTTGCAGAATTATCAATAAAACAAAGGTTGGTTTGATTTTTCAATTATAGGTATTTACTATTCAAACTTATAAGGAACTGTTTTAATTCTATATCAAAAAAATGTTACTGGAATATTGTGAAATTATCAGTCTCGTGGTAAAAGTGCAAAAGCTGACCCCCACCTTAAAAATCCCTGACATGCATGTTTGCAAAGTTGAATGGTGAAAGCATCATTGAAATCACTCCTAATTTTTGGCACCATAAACACCACTTTATTCACCCTAAATTTCACCCTTTAATGTCTCTATTTAGTGATCTTAGTAGTACTGAGACTCAGTACAAACCACCAGAATTAGAGGACTACAAAGCAGGAGATAAAGTTACAGCATTTGTTAAATCAGTAAGTCTGTGATGTAAAATGGGTTTCAAAAGTGCACATTTTTTGTCCTGAATCTGGCATAAGGCTGGACCTTTGCCAAAGGCCTGTTTAAACACTTGCAATTTTGCAGAGCGATTCTTGCAGAGGTTGCTGCATGACCTTCGCCTGAGTTTCGAAAATTGGCTGTAACTTTGCGGAGATTTTCCATATTTTAACTCAAATTTTAAGCCATCTGCAATTCAAAAGACCTTTATTTTTGCTGTCTCCAATATGTTGCGCTCAAGACAATTTTATTTGCTATGGTAGGATTGTTGAATGTGCCTCAAGCTTATTGAGTTACATTGTACATGTATTGGTTAAAGTTCTTATAAAATTTCTTTTTCTTTCATTAGGTAACAGATCATTGCATATGGATGATAGTGTCTGACAAAGTAACCGGAAGAGTGTCCCTACTTCATTCGTCACTTGATGTCAAGGTTTGCTATAGTCACATGGTTCCTCCCTGCTCTCATTGTTCTGCTTGAATTTTGAATATTGCATCTTTATGGCATCAGGATTTATTGTTCCAATTAGACAGAAGAACTTGAAATCAAGTGTAATATGTGTCACTTTTTTTAAGGTTCTGAAGAAGCTGTCATCTCATTTCAAGCAAGGAACGGCTTATAGATGCTATGTAATGGACATTGACACAACACATGAAACACTTGAGCTTTCCATTGCTTGTAAGTTTATTTATATTGTTCAATCTGATGATTGATAATCACTGGCCATGATAATGCTATTTTTTGTGCTTTCTTTTTAAGTAATATATTATAAAATATGAGTACGAGAACTTTATGAGCATTTTAAACTACAAGCTGCAAGCAAGCAGCCAAGAGCCCATATTGGTCGGACGCAGATATTTTATATTACTTATCAAACATAACTTAAACAATATTTTTCTAGAAAAATATCATTTGTAAGAGAAAATTGAAGACAATTTCTTATTCAAATCAGGACAAATCTCTTGCTCATATAAAGATACAGTCACGGCAATGATTTTTCATTGTGTTTATCTTATGAATTATTAATGAATTTGATAATAGATATTTAATAGGATTCATACAGTAGGATTCTTACTAGCCATAGAAATGAGATCTTACTAGTTCACACATCTTTCTTGGTTGTGGAAATGCTATAAAAAGCGAATCACATAGTAACATAATGCTCAAAAGGATTGATGTGGAATGACGGTTTGTTTCAAAGCCTTTCGACTTGAGAATGTTTTAAAGCATTCTGATTTATAGTGTTCCTGGGATTTAAAGGCACTTGCTAGAAATTGAGAACATGTGGCAGCCACTCAAATGAACTTGAGAAAAGTATTTGAACAAACTCGGAAATATAATACTCCCATAGTTCACAAGTCTTTTACATGTCATTAATGTTAACATAACAAATTGTGGCTTATTTTGACTTCAGACAAGCCAGAAGACACATTATCCAAGGGGTCAATTGTAACAGGGCGTGTCAGTAAAGTCAACCCAGTCACTGGTTTGAACATTCAATTACCTTTGCACAAATGTGGAAGAGCCTCTCTGACTGACATCTTGGATCAGTATACCAACTCACCTGTAGAGAACTTTAAAGAAAGACAAATTGTTAAGTTAGTACTAACTTTTCATGTTCTTATTTACCTTATGAATTATGCACCAGAGTGAATGAATCTTATCACAAATTGCCGGTCATATAATTCATATTTTGATGATACGAAAATAATTTGAAGGGTGGATCTAGGGGGAATGATTAAGGTGCCTATCCATCCTATATTTTCTAGTGTCAAAATATAGAAATAGTAATTCATAAAAAAATTACATGGAACCCATATTAAATAACATAGAGAGCAGTGTTCATATAGAGGATATTACATGGGCGCGCGGAGATATGGATTTTATCTTCGAGAGTGTTGAAAAGATGATTTCTCACGAGTGAGCGTAGCTCTAAATCTAACCTTATAATATTTTTGTTCTTGAGTTAGCAATGTCCTGAATCCACCACTGAAGGTTATCATGTCTCGTGCCCTGATGCAAACTCTGAGTAATGCCTTTGGAAAACTCTATCCAATGGCAAATAATATACCGGTCTGGAAAAAGCAATATCTAGATTCGAAGTACCCCATAAACTAAATTACAAACTGTGGAAAAATAGACAAACAGTTGTTATTTTAGTAAACTACGGTTATGGATTTTAATGCTTTGTGAATGGCACAATTAACTATACTAATTGGTAATTCATCTGCAGGTGCTATGTCTTAGGTGCAAGAGATGATGGGCATTTAGACTTATCGTTGAGGCCATCCAGGTAACAACATTGTACATTTAGTGAAGTTTTTTCTTATGTGTGATGTGTGAAACTTACTCAAGTCAAACATGTTGCATAGAGTGATTTTCATTGTTTTTTTTTCGTTGTTTCGTTTTTCCTTCCTCTTTCCTTTCCGCTTTCTTTTACACGTTGCATAGTGTGATTCCTGTTGTTTTGTTGTTGTCTTTTGTTTTGTTTGTTTGTTTCCTCAGTTTTCTTTCTGAGATCTTTGTCCGTAGTGTCATTAGAAATACTTAGCACAATTTCTGTGCGTCTCCAATCAGAGAAAATAAAACTCCAACAAGTTTCCTAAAGTTTCAGTTCATGAAACAATGATTTATCTAGCGTCAGTACCGTACCAGGCCCTCTTGAAGGGGATTGGGGCAGACTCAGCATATGGTTTTTGCTGTCTTCTTTACTGTCTTTTGATGTTATATTTGTCTTGTAGAACAAAAGGAGAAACCACCAAAGATGAATCAGGTATTATGCTGTGTTTTTGCATAATCTTGTGTAATTATTGTAGGGACTAAAGCCACACAGAATCTAACTCCCCTCCCCTCCCTCCCCGACTATTGACTTTTGCGCTCTGTTCACGGGTTACTGAAAACCCCTCTTTCGATTAAATAACTTTCTCAGTGGTTCTTTATATCATATATAGTAGTATAACATAGTCTAATAGCAATAACTGCAGTGAAATGGCAGGAACAACAGCTCAATACACTTATCCACGAAACATACAATGTAAAAATCCAACAACGAAGCTATTGGCTCTTAAATTTTTATCCAATTAAGGCATTGTTTATTATCAAATATCATTTCGCCCATAGTTGAAGACAACAAGATTTTAGATCCCGAATACGAGAGTTTAACAGACCTTGATGTTGGTGGCTTGGTGAAAGGTTTTGTTCAGTCTGTTGGTAATGCTGGTGTGTTTGTAAGGTGAGCAAAAGTGTTCTTCATTTCTTGACTATGATTTAGCGTCATGGAAATTTCAAAAAAGTTATGTACACATAACACTGCGCATTTGATTGAAAAATAATTGACAAGTCTCTGTATTTACAATAACCATTATCGATGTCAGATCCAAAACATTTCAAAGGTGGGAGGCTAATTCAAAAAATATATTAAATGGATAGCTTTAGGGCTGCTAATTATGAAAAAGGGTAGTTAAGTTGTCGTTCAAATTTCTCGTTAAAATTTAATTCCTTCCTTTATTTATTTACCATCATAATTTTTAATTCTATATTTTTTATCCGTAAAAAGATTGGGTTTCTAGGCACAGTAGTCGTCTCATGGACCCGCCCTTGATGATAGTCAATTCTTTTTGGAATTATAATGACGTTTCCTTATCAAAAAACGACATTTTAAATTTTTAATGATTTAAAGAATATCTCAATTTATGTCAAGTAAAAACGTTTTTGTGTTTATCATTTATTTTCAGTTTGTCACGTCACATTAGAGCTCGTGTCCAAATCAAGAATCTTTCACACTTCTTTGTCAAGGATTGGAGACCACTTTTTCCTCCTGGAAAACTTGTCACTGGAAAGGTCTTGAGGTGAGATTTCTGAGTGGGTCGATGCTTAGGAGAAATCGCTTTATTTCGGCAGTTAGCACGAACATATGACCAGGTTCTTTTGATAGTTGTAGAAAAGTGGTTGGAGCCACCTTAAGTGGATATTTCGCAAAATCAAAATGTATCTTTATTTGCTCGTCAGTATCGATCCGTCAAATGGCCACATAGAGCTTACCTTAAAAGGAAAGGATACTGGTTTAGAAGATCCAGCACCAAACCCTAAGAAAGTAGAAAAAGCAAAGAAACGAAAACGAGAAGCCGCTTCAAAAGAACTGAAAACAGTTAATGCAGACAAAGATGATGACGAGGAAGAAGAGGGAGAAGATAGCGATGAAGAAGTTATGCTGAAGAAACTGAAAGGTGAATTGATCGAATTTTAATAGCGGAGCTCCCGCGCGGGCCGAACGCGAGCGGAGCACCATAACTAAGGAAAAATGGTAAACCCATGAGGTTGAGTTTTGATCAACCGACACAGGAAGCCCAGTTGTCCTTCCGTACGTACGTGCGTACGTCCGTCCGTCCGTCCGTGTACATCGCGATTCTGATTGGCTACTTTTGAGAAGGCGGGAAAAGGACGCGCGCTCGCGTCAATTTTTGAAAACAACTTTTTCACCACAACGACGACACAACGACTCCATTTTTGTCCTTTGAAATACTTTACTTCTGCACCAAATGTCTGAAAATCAACGGATAAATAACGGAAAGCGATCTTTATCTGAAGAACAACAGACAAGAAGAAGAGAAAGAGAGCGTCGAAGAAGTCTAAGTGAAGAACAACGCAGGCTTGAAAGGGAGAGAAAACGTGATAGACGAAACAATTTAAGTTAATAAAGACTCAAGCAAATCGAGAAACGAAGTGAACGCCAAATACAACGATTATTGAGGGAGAATTTCTCATAGGAGAATATCTGACATATTCTCCGACGATACCGTGGCGTTATTAAACAAATGGCGGTATGTTAGATTATACGTGCAAGCGGTTTTTGGTGCTCAATTATATCAATTCTTCTACTTCAAGAACCTTGGGCAGTTTTAGTCTGGTTTAAATTTGCTTTTGAATTTGAAAATCTTTACCTGATACACTTCAAAACTTCTCAGTTAAATGAGCTTGTTGACAATGAAAATATGTGTGAATTGTGTGTACATTCTATCCACAATAATAATCTTATTTGACATAAAACTACTCGGATGTTTTAATAAGTATAAAACTATGCATTTTGAAAAGAGAGCCTTGATATTATTTGAATGTTCAGATTTTTAATCTTTATTCTTCAATAAACTCTTTAATACAAACTGTCAACAAATACAGAGAGCAAAGATAAGCAAAGAATTTGAGAAGTTGAAAAATGGATAATCATTATGAACATTAAGCTTATGATTCCTTTAATTGTTTACAAAACTG